GCCAGTAGGGAGGAAGCATTACCAACCTTGATTCACGGGTTGTCAAGAGGAGGGGGGGCTAGACTCTCATCTCTCGAGGATCCACTTTGTGCTATCGGTGCCCAGTTGCTTAACAACAAACAACCCACTAACTCGCCCTCGGCTAATGAGGGAAGTCCTTCTAAATACTTGGAAGCCCTTCTGAATACGTGCTGCAGCTCTCTTCGAAATTAGAGGAAGAGCTTTTCATGAGAGGCTTTCCCCTAGAAAGTCAAAGCCATTTGAGCTGTTTTGGTTTCTTCTCGACAGCCTAACAAATAGGGGTAGGAGGGGAGCAAGGAGGGAGTTGAGCCGGAGGGATCGGTTTTTTCTGGACAGTTAGTACGAGACCAAGCGGACTACGTATGCAGTTGAGGCTTATGGGGACCTTCTGAGTGGTACCTCTTGAATTTGTTGACAAAAAGATCCTTGTAGTATAGAAGATCGTGAGCATCGAACGCCAATCCAAGCTCTTCGTTAGCCTAAAAATATTTTGATAACAACCACGTACCACCGATACTTAGGGGGGAGATCAATTGGATTTTTTAAACATCGCAAATCCGCACCATTTCGCCCAAATCGTAGCCCCTTCCCGAACTAAATGGCAGGATGTTCTTGACACCCGGAGCTCTTCGGAGCCTCCATGATCGTACGAACGTAGGCCAAACGTTGTTGTATGAAAATACTCGCTCCCCGTCCCTCGGATTCAGAGAATTTCCGGACTATGGAACTTCAAATCGTTCTTATTTGGCCTTGAACTAGAAATCCTATGAGTTTGACCCCCAACGTGACTTTCAATTGCGATTCAAGGGCACCACCCACGGATTTACCTTGTCTAGGTTCGACGGATCTCCGAGAACATCTATTTCGAGGACTTTCTCTCGGCCTCGTATAGGCGTAAAATCGACCTGATCCGTGTATATGCATTCTGAAACCAATGAATTTACTGTAAACATGAAGAGTAAACAAGTTGTGGAGTAAAGAACCGCATAGACGGCGTACTTGTGCTTTTGAATGACTCGGCAATTCAGTTAGTTCCTTGTAAATAGTTCATTTTTTCTCCTCATCGAAATTTTAACCGTCTCGTTATGTGGGGGTGATGTAGAGTCTTCAGTCGTGAGAAGGGAAGGTGGGAATGTCTACCAGGTTGAAGGAACTTGGGGGAAGCAGGAGTAATAGAGATGAATTCTGCAACCTACTCCTGGTACATGTGAACTTTACTCCCGAATACTTTGATATACCCAAGCTGTAGTGGATGGCATCAGGTGGTAGACCTTATCACCTTCCCTTCCCACGACACCTTCCCGTTTACAGTTTCAGCCGCATCATTACTAAATCCAATACTTTTGTTCGTGTACGTTGAGGAAGGGACGATTTGGCGGGGTCCGTTAAGTAGGTAGAGAATTAGGCTTATACCTTTTTCCGTTGAAGCACTCTATGAGAAGAAAAGAATAGAAGTCATCTGCATTTTACTTCCACTCCTTACTATAATACATACCACAACTGCATAGAAGTGGGTCCCCTTTTACAAAATACTGATGTTTACAAACAGCTGCAGTCAAAAAAGTGTCCACTTACCGGTCATACGGTCCCCGGCTATTTCTAGAAGAATATCATCATCTGGTATGGGGTCGCCATCAAATTGGTATCGAATAGTCCGCTCAAGTCGTATAACCTCGTCGATACCAGCTGCTGACAACGCCGACAAAGCATTTGTACAATATGCCGTTTTGAATGTCAGCCTGAAATGACAACTCGTCCAAGCTTGTCCCTTGGTTTGAAGATTCTATCCGAGGCAACAAATTACTTGAAATTAAGTTGAAATAGCCCTTTCAGGTGTAACTATTCCATGACCTACAAGTATCCGGTTGAGGGGAAGGTATCTGCCAAAATTTTTCTACCGAACCCCAAACTTTTCACGGAATTCCCAAGAAGTACTAGGAAATGTCACTTAAAATCCATGGGAGCCTTCATAAAATCACGGAAGAAACCTTAAATATAGCAAAGTTTCTGGCAGATACTTTTCGCAGAACCTCCTCTAGTCTAGTACAGTAGTCGGTCCAGTACATTCCAATGGCTCACTCATGTGTTAAGCAAAGTTCTCTCTATTCAACTCAAAGTTCGATAGGTTCAACCAAGATCTCTTTCATGATTCAAGTCCACCACATCGAATTTGATTAAATCTCATCGCTGACCGTGGTCCGATCTCCTTGACCGTTCCAGTCAGCTGAGAATGGCTCATTAAATGACCATCAAACGGCGTCGGCGATAGCAACCATCGTAGTTTGTCCATCTGACAACGTTTAAACTCATCCGAATCGACTCCATCCTAAAAGACCCTATACATAACACCTCATTGCAGTTTTGGCTCAGATATAGCCCAGTTATAGGCTAGCCTGTAGTCAGGTAGACCAGGTTAAAGTGAAATACAACCCGTGAAATACGGGAAGTGAAAGGCGAGAGGGAGGCAGCTGACTACGGACGAAAAACAGGGCTCAACTGCCAGTCGATACTAATTAGCTAGCAATAAAACGGACAGATTACAATTTCCTCCCAGAAATCGATTACAAGTAAGGAATAGTGTCCACCCTTATCAACCAGCACGATTTTACGCGATGCCATCGATGCCTATTGAGTGCACTTTCGAGGAAGTCTGCCACACTCTTTCCAGGGGAGATTCCACGAATTCGTAGGCCCCCGGACATACACGGAAGGGAGCCCGATTTCGAAGCCTCTGATACATCTGCTTAAATATAGCTAGCTATACGTCGTAGTGAAAGACTTCCCACACAACCCTGGGAGGAAACTGTGTCAGGCGCACTGAAACGACTACTTCAATAGTATCGGATAGTCTGCAAACTGCAATCGTTTGAGCGGATGGATGTATTGGTTCGGTCAACACGTATTCCAACATTTTATCAATGACGCGTGTTCTACTATTCTCACTGAAGTAGGGATGCATGGCTTAAACTAATTGGCTCTCTCGGCCGTGTTCAAGAAGGGGAGTGGACTATTGATGAATACCTTGAGTATTACATAGAAGCAATGTTCAGCGGTGATGTTGACAGTCACTCCAGTTCGCTCCAGAAGACCTTTTTGAATCGTCGAGACTTTCCATTTTGAATGAGGTGAATCCACCAGGCTGAAGAAACGCATACATTCCGGAGCCATATGTCCTCCTGAAAAAAGCGAACTTTACACTAGAAACTTTGAAGCAACAAATAAATAAACAGTTGAAATGACAAATGACGCAGCAGTCCAGGCAAAAGCCAGTACCCGAAATGAATGCGTTCTATAAGTTCTGCGGTCAACAATGTACGATGGTTCTATAAGGCTCGATATTTCCTAACTTTTCCAAATTGAAAGTCGGATAAATGAAGACAGATATAGTTAAGAGAAGGAATAGCAGGAGGAGAAGCTTAACGGCGAAGCGGTTAAAGTGTAATGGAGGATAACCCAGAGGAAAACGGAACTCAGTCCAATCAAGGGCAGTTTTTCGCGAAAAGACTATGTGAATGGAACGAAATCAATCATCACTAGCCCTTCACAGGTTTTTCTATTGAACAGGCAGATCATTCAGTTAGAACAGATTCGATCTCCTCACAATCATTTCCCTTTACCTTTCCATTTTCATTTCATTTTCTCTTTTTCCCTTTTTTTCAATTCGTGGTGAAGTTTGTCGCTGCCCTTGTTACCTGTTTAGCCATAAGGGATAGGATCCTCCTCTAGGGTAGGGAATGGGAAGGTTTAGGTTCCCGTTGTTGATCAGTTCCGTTTGGGATGCTCCCGTGCATTTGACTTCAGTTCAGTGTAGCAGTAATTTATTTATTTATTTACTTATTTATTCGTTTATTTATTTTAATTGCACTCTTGGTGCGCCTAAACAAACCAGAAAAGTGTTATATAACATGAGGCGACTTGATGACATGACTTACTGTAAACTTGGCCGATATATATATTTAAATGCATATACTATATGTAGAATATATGTAGTGGGCGCGGGTGGCATAGTGGCAAGTGGCGCACTTCATACACGCATGTTCACGAGTTCGAGACCCGGATCGATACCAGCCTGGGCCAGCCAAGCTTTCCAATCAACCACAAGACTTTTGAAGTTTTTATAGTAACTACATACATTGGCGGATTTGGTGTAGTGGCAAGGGGTGCACATTATCACCCACATGGTCCAGAGATCAACGAGTCACAGATCGATAGCGCTCAAGCCATCCGAGACTCCTATCTTTCCGAGTTTAGTTAGTCGGTACAGGACTCATACATTCATGATATCTGCCGAGGGTTACACAACTGAGTGATTACCTT